CCAACCATAGTCCCCCCCCCCGCCTCACACCCCGTTTCAGCATGGACAAGCTTTCCTGAGGCGAAAGCATAGTCTGTGCTTCCAAACACCACCAACAGGGAACGAAAATGACGATGACGAAAACTGCCAAGTTCAATTTGGACTGGTCGACAATTTCCGGACACCCGTTCTACTATGGCAGCACACCACATAAACTTAGACTACGTAAGGTTTACGCAACGAAAACGGAGAAACTCAGTGATGAGGGTAGGGCAGGTGCGTTTAAGTGTCCATTTCTTGCGTCAGTTATGCTGGACTATATGTACAGCTCCTGAACGACGTAATGGAACAGGACGGGGATTGATTCAGGTGGCAGCCGAGCAAATATCCTACCTAATACTATCAGTAATAATGCTAATATTAGGACAAACCTACTTGCATGACACGCCTACACATCACCTGTATCGCTTTATACTCCACAAATACCGGTTAGAGAGGAAGCCCACGGATACGCTTTTGCTCTCATTTACATGATGCAAACATCTGGTATAAAAATACCAGAAGTAAAATGCATTGAGCTATACGGGAAGAAGTAGATGTATCAATGAACGGAATAGAATTAAATTCTTTGAATATCTTAAAAAAGAGATTTGCACAATGATAAATATGTTGTGAACATCAAAGTTAGCAATTGGAAACTATGCAATTCAGCATTTCATTTTATTTTTCATCGATAGTGACATCTTCGGTCTGTGTCAAAGGCGTCAAACATTTACAAAGAAACAGAACCTTATATTCGGTAAAAAAAAGGAGCTCCTCAGTCCACTGCCACGGTTACCCGACTAAAACAAGCAATCAAACCGCATAGAACCGGCCTCATAGTCATCAATCCCGGCGATATACGATTCGAATAGGTGATGTTTGCAACCAATCTTAGTTGGACTATCATTTATAACATCCTTGAACTATACGTGGTTATACCAGTTAACCTGCATTCATCAATGGGATGCTACCTTCAATTCCGCAAATCGTTCCGTTTCAGACTCAACACAAAAGAGCGGCTTGCCAGGCTGTTGGCATACGAAAACCGGGAAAGTTCGCTATTTAAATAATGAAAGTAAAATGAGTGTGACAGTTTCCCGTACGATGAACGGATTTGGAGAAATCGCTACTTGTCTCCGTTATTTACTATGAGCAACAGATATCTACAAAAGGTACTTGAATTTCTGCTGGGAAATCGACTACTGACCTAATCGTCCTTTAAGCTGCAATATGTTTCACTCAACCGATAACCTGGAGTGCATCGGTAGTGTGAATGCTTGACAGTTAGATGAGCAATTTGTACAAAAGTTGCTTCTTGAGCGAACGATGCTACTGATTGTGAAACGCATTTAAGTATTACGGTATCGGAGTATGACGGAATGTTTCTAGCGCCAGTGATTGATTAAAGGACGAGATTTTGAAGATCTGATGGACAGAAATACAGACGGGTTGTGACTAAGTACAAATGAGGCCTAATTCCAATAAAACGTTTTCGCTGCTGATTAAAGAGCAAATGAAAGATGCCGATCACTGATGTTGTTACTGATCAATAATCAGTCACGTGAATCAGTCACTGTGCTAATTATAACCCAATCCCAAATCCACCGTATCCTTTCCCTCACACTCGTGCATCTGTTCTCTTCTAGCTATCTCATATGAAACATGCTGTTTATCAAAACCCTGAGAACACAAACGTTCCTGTTTTTCCCTGTTATGTGAATGCACCATTTCAAAAAGGAATTATTATAGAACACATGTTTGCTTACATGACGCTTCTAGACCTAATTAGGGTGATTGATTAAACTTGTTTTTGAGAACTTATTGCAGATCAGAGGATTAGCTACTTTCCATGAAAATTGGGCCAAACATGATATCTGATGAGTCGTTTATACTTCATTCTATCCGCGGACAATACTGCAGCTATTTGTCTACGGTAATGTTTGATGTATAGAATAGTTTAAGACATTTACTAACTTTGAACGCGATCGACGTTTGGTCGTAAAGGAGCACTGAAAACAGTTTCTTGTTTGTTGATGCTTATCAAATGACATGAGTTCTGGTATTGCTTGATACAATGCAGAAACATGTTCATTGCAATCAAAAATTGTTTTTAAATCACGAAATGGGCCCATTGATTAAGCACACACATCACGTAGGCCATAACGTGTCCATGG